AAAAAAAAAATATTACCATGGCTGATGTTACGTTCCAGACAGTTGTAAGCAATATTTGTTTTTGCGCCTTCCATAAACCGAACAAAGACTTTTCCTTCACGTGGATCAAAGTTCCATTCCAAACCCTAAGAATGTATCAATGAAGTTATCGGGGATTTTTTAAAGTAAATTTTTGCCTTCAGCTTTCAAAATACCTTGCTAGACTTTCGTTCAAAATAAAGTTGTTCAGCAACAGTTTTCCAAAATTTGTCGCTGTCATTAATAGATTCTTCGTACATTTCTTGATACGATTTCATACCAGAAACGTGTGCCCCTAAATATACCCAAATATCTATGGTATGTTGTTGATTAGCATTAAAAAGAGTCTAAAAAAGACCGATACCTGCAAGCAGAGGAGCAGGTGGTTCGAAATATTCATCTGTATCCTTGAGTGGGTCACCTATCGTAAATTTCACGCCTGTTTCCGACATAGCTGAGAAACAGATTCACCTCCTCAAAAATTAGGCTTAGAAATAAGGAAAGGAAAGTTTTTGAAAAATAGAAAAGATTCCAAATACTTTTAAGTTGTTCAGAGGATTCAGTGAAATGATCTAAAGTAGCAGAAAAAAAAGGGAGATTATGAGCAGTAAGTTAAGAAAAGTGCAAACAGTTATATAGCATATATTAAGCCAGTTAATTTCAAACAAGACCTTTTAAAATTTATAACATTTGCTTTAAAAAAGTACTTTTAAATCGACAAAAACTGGGAAATAAAACTGAGGTGACGAGTTGAACGTGTTAAAACATTCCATAAACTAACACTAAAATGATCAACAGGAAATTTATCATAAATAAAACTTGAAGTGTGATTGTAGGGCTCCTTAAGCAATTTATAGATCAGAAGCAGTTTACGTCAAGTCGCTCTACTGTAACCATCACTAACACGGTTGTATTAATCTGCCATCAGTAACCACCTACCAAACAAATTGTCTGCAGTTGTAACCGTATAGTCTTTAGGACACACTTACCTTTTTGTCAGTAACAAAGCATATCCACTTGTCAGATTTTTATGCGGCACCTCAGTAAAGAATCATTGCCTTCCAACTAAAAACTGTATTTAAAATTTGATTTTCTACTTGATGATTGCTTAGATTTACTTCAACCTTCATGTAGGTTTTTAAGCCTTACCTATCTTGTTTATAGTCTACATCTCAATTTATACCGCTTACAGGCTACAAAAATATCCAACAAATCCGAGCCATGAATGAAAAAAGTTATTTTTCAGAATAATGGCATGGTGACTTTCAAAATTTCATAAAACTTCTTCAGCATTCTATGGCCATTAATGTTAGGAGATTGCGCTTAACTTTGACGAGGAACATTTCGCTTAGCAAAATATGCCATTAAAGGACTCATTTATTTTTCCTGTTGCTAATAATAATAATATTTTTTTGCCTTTGAATTAGAGATTTTAGGCGAATATTTGTTTATTGAGTTAA